GGAACATTCTCTGGTCAATTATTAGGTACTTTATGATCTAGTAAGAAAGGTATTAGAGATCATGGTGGAATTTTTCCAGAAAAGTGGAGAGCTAGATCAAAAGTAAATATTTGAGCTCATAGGCTGAGCATGTATTGTCATGAGAATATACCACAATCAACAGGGAGATGTTCTTAGGGTAATGTTCTTGATGTTAGGAAGGGTTCAGCTAAATACAAACTAAATGAGATCAAGGTGATTTAATGATTGTGTGAATTTGAAGGAATACCGGCTAGAACTGTAGTTTAATGCTTGGGCTACATCATCCAATTAGCTGAATTTAGAGATGGAGGTAGCTGTGGTAACAATGCTAACTAAGCCCGGCTCTTCTCTATCCACCAAAGACCATATTCAGATCAACAAGCATTTACTCGGTTTCCTCTGTGTGAGGCTCTAGAGGCACAAGGGAGAATGAGACAATGTTGCCTGCCGTCAAGGAGCTAGCATCTCACCTGCTCATTTTAATTAATAGTATTAATACTTCCTGGACACCCACTTTGAGCTGTATAACACTTAATACCCTTTGCAGAAAGTACTAAATTTAAGGATAGAAATACTAAGGTGTACAGGGACTTAGTGAACTATTCATGGTCATATAATCAGTGAGTAACAAAGATAAACTGAACCCAGGCAGTGTGGCTTCAGAGTTCAGCAGCTTAACTATTATGTCACATAGCCTTTTAAGAGAAGCACAGTTCTTCCTTTCACACTGTACAAGGGAGACCCACTGATCCAAAGCTGTCTGTGACAAACATATGTGATACATAATCATCAGAGCAAGCCTACACAGCCATTTCTGCTCCTCTAATTCCAGGTCAACTGACATGTATGGAAAACCTACTGTACTTTCCACCCTGCACTAGCTGGTTTCACAGTGACTGTCTCATTCAAACCTAACAGCTTTGTGGAGCAGGTATTATCTCTGTTTTAGAGATGAGAAAATTGAAGGGTAGAAGTTAAATGACCTATCTAGATCTACACAATTATTGAGAGATAGTGCTCAAATTTTAAACCCAAGTTCCCTGATGCCATCCTGTGCTTTCAGTAGCCTGTCATTTTTATGAAGAGTATAAGTCAATAGTTGTTAATATACTTTAAACTGTGCAAACACCATCAATTCCATTAATATTTCCAAGCCCCAAAGACATCCTGTACCTGTTAGCAGTCACTCCCCATTCCTTTCCCCCTGGCTCCCAGCTTCTAGTCTACTTTGTGTTTCTGTGGATTTGCATGTTCAGGATATTTCATATGATTGAAACAATTATGCCTTTTTTGTGCATAGCTTCTTTTACTTGGCATATTGTTTTTAAGGTTCATCTGTGTGGTAGCATGTATCAATATTTTATTTCTTTGTGTGGCTGACAATTACTCCATTGTATGGATTCACGTTTTGTTAATCTACTCCTTAACTGACAGATATGTAGCTCCCACTTGGGAGCTATTATGAAAAATGCTACTGTGAATACACATATACAAGTTTTTGTGTTAATCTGTGTTCTTCAGCTTTCTTGAGTATATGCCTAGGAATGGGAATGCTGGGTGACAATGTTTAACTTTTTGAGGAGCTGCCAAATTGTTTTCCAAAAAGGCTGCATGCACCATTTTACATTCCCAACAATGAATGAAGGCTAAGATTTCTCTATATCCTCCAACACTTGTTATATTCTTTTTATAATTGCCATCCCAGTGGGTGTAAACTGACCTAATTATGGTTTTGAACTGCATTTCCCTAATGACTAATGATGCTGACCACCTCTTCATGTGTTTACTGGCTATTATTGTTTTTGAGAAATGTTTGTTCACTGTCTTTTCAGTTATTCTGGAATCTAGAGTCATGTGACTTGAGAGTATTTTCTCCCATCCTGTAGGTTGTCTTCACCTTTTTTTTTTGGTGGTACTGGGATTTGAACTCAGGGCCTCACACTTGCTAGGAAGGTGCTCTACCATGTGAACCACTCCACCAGCCCAATGTCTTCACCTTCTTAAAAGCTTTTAATCTTACTGTCATCCAAGTTATCTTTTATTTGGCTTCTTGTGCTTTTAGTGCCATACCAAAGAAATCATTGCCCAATTCAACATCAGGAAGCTTTACACATAGGTATTACTTTTAAATTTGACTTTCAAAGACTTCTCCCACAAGGGTGAGATACACAATGCAGTTTTAAGTGATACAGAGCCTCTATCTGATATTGGAAAACTGGGTTTATTTTTACTGGGGGACAGGAACATGTTATTAAAATAATTAAAGAATTCACAAATTTTCTTCCAAATTGGTAATTTATATACAGGTAGTAAAATAAATTGTGGCTATTATTATCTTAATCATTATAATTATTCTGAGATTTAAAAATCAATATTCTAAGTAAATAGAAAATAAAAGTTTAGAATTCACATTTAAGATAATAGCAAAGAAATATATTAACATGTGATAGCTAAGAGTTGAGATGGCTTCCCTAAGACTGACTAGTTGGAAACCTAAGGGATAGCACTTGTACCTCTAGTCAAGAGAAAAGTCCCCTAAAATCTGGGGACAAAAAGAAACCATTTGGAATGATTTTTGAGTCGACTGTGCTGTGTGTAGTTGAGTTGCACTACTTGTATAATGGTAAGTGGTCATGTACATGCTTAAAATTCTTCCTGGAGACTGCCCAAGGATTCTAGTAGAGAACAGGTGGGCTTCAGAGCCATATAGCCCTGAAATTCCTAATTACAAGTTCTGTGGTAAGGTAATATGAACCAGAAGTCATGATACATTGGTCTAATAGTAAATAAACCATCTCATAAAATCTCAAACGTACATTTACGTCAGTTTGAAACAAGAAATGAAATGAAGTTTACAGGGCTACTATGATTTTCCAGTGGGTTAGCAGACAAATGTCTTTTCTAACATGTATAAACCTACCTAAGGGGTAGTAGTGTACAATGAGGGTGGAATTCCTATATCTTCCATGTGGTTGCAGGCATGTGTCCTTACCTTTGGCACTGTATTCATCAGGTCTTCTTCAGACTCTAGGGAGCTAATCTGAGATCCCGGCTCTACAGTATTCACATGTGTTGTCAATGTGACCAACAATCATTCCCATACACATAAACGGGCATATACCAATAACTCTTAGTCATTGTCTGTTTGAAATAAAAGTAATGGTGTCAAAGGTCATTATGATTCCTCAATAGAAAAAGACAAAATCAGAATTTGCAAAAGAAATTCAAATGACCATTAAACATCAGAAAAGTTCAAGAATCCTAGTAATGAAATAAATTTTAAAACAAGTGAAGCCTATTTTGCATTTATTAAATTGGCCAAAAAGAGAGAATTGGCAAAGCTGGAGGAGATGGCATTCATATGCTACTGATGGGAATGAAATTGGCACTTTTATTTTTGGCATAGTCAAAATGTCAGGTGTACATTCCCTTTGAGTTAGACATTCCATTTCTAGGAAATTACTTAGTTGAGCAGAAACATTAATAAAGCTTTGTGAAGAAGCATGTTTATTGTAGTTTCATTAGCAGCACTAAAATATTAGAAATACAGAAATTTCAATCTTCAACTATACTTCATTGTCAGAATAAATTCAAACATACTATGAGTCCTTAAAAATTTTGTGTATGTATGTGCACATGCATAGATATGTACTTACATATATAGAGAGAAAATGTTGTGCAGTAATTACCTCTAAGATATAGAAGTAGGAGAAAGATTTTGAATTCTTGCTTTTATATTGTAATTTGTCTGATAACTTAAAAATCACCTATATCACTTTTGCAGTTTCTTAAAAAAGTAAATTTATGGAGATTATAGTCCACTCAATTGGAAACTAGACAGTAATGTACTTTATTGTATATTAACAGCATATGGAACACATTTTTGTAAAGTGTTCACAGGATACCAGATATTTTTCTCTGACGTGAAAGTGGTTTTCAACATACCCAAAACTCATAAATAAAGGTACAGTTCATAATCAGAAGTCAAGGGAACTAGAGATGAGATTATAATGGATGTCATGTGGTTCATATCTGTAATAGGCTAATGGCAGAGTTGGGACAGTGACATAGATTAAATTGTTAGCACCCAAATAAGGGACATTGTTTTGTTGACAACCACAAAATGAAAACATCCAGGACCCAGAGGAACAAAAGCCTTTTCTACAGGAGTCTGAGCAGTTCAGGCACTATGATCCATTTCAAAAGACCTGACTCTTCACCTAAGCAGAATGTTGAGAATTCAGCTTTCCTGGGGCGTTCAGTTACCAGACTTCTGGGGAATACAACAACAAACTGTATTTATAGAATTCCTCTGTTCCCAGAATTGCTATGTCCTTTCATAGACAAAGGGCATTATTTAAAACTCAAAAGGTTCAAGCATGGATTTTCCCCTTCCAGTATTCATGCACTACTCACACTCCCATTTCGTAGCCTACAAAGGAGGACTAATAATATCTTTGCCAACTCCTTCTCAGACTGGCACAAGGCTGCAGTGTGGCCACGTGGGGGGAAGAGCTTCCAAAGCTGTGAAGTCCTCAGTGGACAGGAAGGCACATTAGAACAAATGTGACTTAGTGCTATTTTGAAAGTGGGAGATTTTCAAAGATTAGCCCATGTTTATGGTTTTTTACTTGCTCTGGTTTAGTAGAACTTTATTTTTCAAGGACTTTAAAAACATTTGTAAAACATTGTATGCATATATGAATAAAAGAAATAAAAAAATAAAAATTTGTATTTTGATAAGTTATATTATTATATAAAGTAATCACTGCCAGCCACTTTTGTTATGAAGTGACTTAGATGTAATTCTTCCACACTAGTAGTCATAGATGTTTTATTAAAACATTAATAACATTAAAGGTCAGAAAATTAAGAAACAATTGTTTGACTAATGAATAGATTGTCGAAATTCTTTATATCATCTGCAATAAGATGAAACACTCCCTAAATGTAGCAAAGACACTAAGAGACAGGTATTTTGCAGACAAGAAAACCTTTTACTTTAAACCACAAATAGTCAGCAGGTGGCCACAACTATCCATATTTCATTAAAATCACATAAAACCTAGGTACAAAAGCACCACTGATTATTGCTCTAGAAAAGCTGCATGAAAAATTCAAATATCCACAATAAAAACAGCACAGTATACACAGGACTCAATTTTTAAATCAGGTGTATGGAATGCTGAATCAATTTTACACACAGCTTCCAATATTAAATTGATATTTATTTTACTTGAGGATGACAGAAACTTCCAAAAAGCATGAATATGAGAAGGTAAAATGTCCATCTTTATATATATTGTATGCCAACTAGCAGAGTCCTAAAAAATTAGCATTTACAAAATACTTGGTAAAAATAGCTTTTAAAAGTTGTCCCAAGAGGTACATAAAATCAACCCCAAGTTTTCATGGCAATTCATTCTCCCTTGTTATCTACAGATTCAGTTTTCTGTGCCTGTGGGAAAAAAAGAAAAAAGAAAGATTTAGTTGCCATTAAAATGACTATAACCAAAGAAATGCCCACCCACCAACAAACACACTTTTGAACAATTTTTTGAACTCTACTGTACAGCCTACTTCAACTCTGGGTGGAAAACATACAAGGCAGGAATACACTATGCCAACACTCTGCCATGTTTACTGCTTTCTGTTTTTCCAACCACAGAAGCCTTACCTGCAAGCTCCCACTGCTCATAATAAAAAACACCACACAACTATCTGATGCTAGTCACTGCAAACATGCAGAATTTTCTACTGTACCCTTAACTTTCACTGTTTCAAGCTGCCCCTTTACTGACAGTGTGCTGGGTGGGGCACTTCTGGAGGCTGAGACATTAACAGTTGAGCGAGAGATGCGGATCTGCAATAACATTACAGGCGATAGAAAGAGACATTATGAACAGGCTACCAGGGGCTGAAGGATCCAGCAATTTCTTTTAAGACACTGATTCAATCAGTGGGAGGTATTTACAGCAAGTACCTCTTCAGCTTTAGTTTCACCATTTTCAGATGGTGCAGTACCTTCCTTTCCAGCTTCCTGCTTTTCCTCCTTCTTCCCTTTAGCACCTCTGCTAATCTTTGTCCCAGGTTCTTTCTAATAGAAGATCAAAGCACAGGGAAACAGAACATGTTAAACAGAGCAGTGTAAGCTACAATCAAGCAGCTTCCATCCAAACGCAAGGTGAACTATAACGATGACCACTATGGTGGAGATAAAGGGAACCCAGTTTTGCTGGGTTTCAACTGAGTTATACTGAATCTCTATAAAAATGTAACAGGCTGCTCCGAATGTCCACTTGACTGCCCTTGCTGTGTGGACTGCCTCTCTACTAGGGTGAGAAGTGGCCTGCCACAGAGAGGGCAACAGCAGGGCTTGGTGAAAGAAGAAACAAAAGTGGGGGGGAAGCAGGCCATGGGCAGCACTCTAGGAGCAAACATATGGCTTGAATGCAAGCAAGCATTTCAGTTCATCTAAAGCACTTGAAAATGACCGCCCAGGTAGAAATATTCCTAATCCTAAAACCAAGCCACAGAAGTGAGTTCTGCTGCTGAACTCACGTGCTACACACAATGCCCAACAATTCACAAGGGACCATGCTCTGAAGGGCTGAGCGCAGAAAAGCCACTTGGGGTAACTAAGGTACGTCAGCTTCCGCACCTACAAACTGGGATATTGGTAGTACCTCACTAGGGTTGATGTGAGGGTCACTCACAGAGAGCACAATGTGAACTGCATGTTCTCAGGCAGCTGCCAGCCCTACTTTCCACGCAGGTCTTCCCAGAGTAGCCCGCTCTGGTTTCCTGCACCTCATTGACCAGATGGAAAACACATTCCCGCTAACGCGTAATACTGTGCTTTATGTCTTTAAGACAGCCCCTAATAGTGGTGAGGGTTTTCTGATCAGTACACATGGCCTCTCCTGGGGTGATTTTTGGTTATGGAATCATAATTTACTTATGGTTTTAAAAGCCAGAGGTGAGAGGAGAGGAGCACCTCTTACCTTAGCAGATGTTTTTCTTGGTTTAGGCTCAGGTTTCGGTGGAGCAGGTTTCTGCAGAGATCAGTTAAATTATACAAACACTGCAAACAATAGTCATTGGCACCAAAAAGAACACAAAAGGACTATAAAAGACGACATCCGCTTTGACTATGGCTTTGTTCATTTTGAAGACTATCTCTTCCTATTTTTAGCAGTAGGCAATAGCATAAAGACCTTAGCATTTCATAACTGTTTTCATCCTGGGTTCCCAAGTGAATGGCAGGTGAGATCCAAAAGCCGACTCATTAGTCCCTGGTCCAGAATAGCTCCCCAGGAATAGGTTTAAGCTTCTATCTCTGATACCTCTGTACTTCCTTTTATCACAGCACAGCAGCAAGAAGAATGACTCAGACCCTTGGGCCAAATGACTCAGTGAATTCAGTTGCACTGGTCTTCCCAACAGTCCAGAAATCACAGTGCAGTCACAGTAAAGCCCGTCCGGCCAGGAAGACTGCTGCTTGTGAAGTAGTTCAAAACCACAGCCAAATCCTTCCCCCTCTGCTGTACACTTCAAGTTCTGTAAGCCAAGAGTTTTTCTACTTTCATCTTCTACAATGTCAGCTTAAGGTAAGAATCTATCCCACCCAGACACTGGGCTAGTTTGTCTCTAGAACTTTTTATTAAGAACACAATTATAGTGACAATATGTCTACTACTGGCTCCTAAAGTTTAACATTTGTCACAGATGTTAGCCAAAGAACCCTCTAGGAAATTATTTTTCTCCTGTTTTGTGTGGTCCTCCCCCGCTCCAGTGAGCAATGTTCAAAGCTCTGTGATCGTGATCCTCCCTTGACCCTGGCCAGCTTCCCAGGTGCCTGGGACCAGGTGGTACATAGGGGAATGACCAGTTTAAACAATGGTTCACTGAAGATATTTTAGGGCAAATATTCTCTCATCGAGCTAAGGAAAAAAATAAGTATGCATTTCTCCTGGCATTAGAAGAGTGTTTTTTAAATAGAAAACACTGCCCAGGGTCTCCCCTGTAGAGAAAAATGCATGTTCCTTCCCAATTTCTCTAATAGGTTCAAGGTTCATAGTGAATCTGGTCCTTTTCACCAAGGACATAAGGGAAAATGGGGACAGTTCAATTCCAGAAGATCGACTGTCAGAAATGACCTTTCAAATCAAGAAAGAATTGAGCTTGAAAAGGAATGTTTTTATTAATGTTATTAGCACCCTAAATTGGCAGTGCATTCCCCAAATACAACAGATTACATGACTACCAAATTTTCGTGATTTAAAAAAAAAATTGTGAAAAACTCTACTGTTTTAAGTAGCAGGGGAGAGGAAGAAAGCAGGTTAAGAAAGAGTAATCACGGGAGGGAATTTTACTGAAGTCCATTATGTATGTAAATATCACAATGGAACCCCTTAGTACAATTAGTTTACACTAATAAAAAGTTAAATAAAAAAATCTTGTCTCAAAGCAGAAAAATATTTTTCCAAGTTTTGACATATTAATGTATCAGTGTTTTCTCAATCTTTAGCAAATATCCTTTTATATTTTTTTTTGTGAGACAGATCTTTCACCTTGACCCAATATGCAGTATTTTGTGGGAACACGAAAGGAGGTTTTACAGTTTGTAATCCTGTTGGCCTTAGCCAAGGCTGTGCTGGTATCACAGGGAATGACCTGAACGGGGCTTATGGTGCTAGTTCCTGGCACTGGGGAAGAGCTTCTGTTAAATTTTTGTTTTCCTCTGACTTACAAGGGCTGTTCCCTTAACTGGATGAAGTTCACAATAGCTCTTAAGTTTTCCAGGTAACTGATATCGCCTCCTTACTGGACTCATGAGAAGCTTGTGAGTGGCCCTAACACCCACTTCTATGCACAGGCAGGGGCTGAGGACGAAATCTACACTTGTAGCTGCTGTAGTAACTACTCTTTGATCAAGATGTCAATGCCTTTCCCCCAAGCTTCTCAGTGGGCAACTTGGGGTGCAGGAATTTTAACCCAAATCCTCTTACTCAGGCTGATCGAGGCCTCCTGCATCAGAAGGGCAGCAAGGAGGAGCACAAGAGCAAGCAAGGAGCACACACAGGTGGTGAGGAAAGCCTACAGCACAACTGTGTCTGAGGCTTGGTCACACCTTCCCCTCCCAGCTTTCATTCTAATGTCGCCTCCTCCCTGAGCTGGGCCTATGAAGAAAGACTCCAAGTGACCAAGGAAAATTAGTTCCTTTACAAAAGATGTTCCAGGTCTGAAATGGGCCTAAAAGTGTATGGATTTAGACAAGTTTAGAACATTCTGACACTGGAATAAAATGTTCTAAAGTATGAACTGTGGACAGAGAATCAGCATTCGGTCCTGAAATTTGCTTCTTCTACTTCTTTCGTTTCAGATCTGCCAGTAAACATCACAGGCTTTATATTCTTGGTGGTGGGTCAGGCCACTGTTTTTCACTGACACATCTGATCAAGTGAATTGCTTGGCAACAGGGATAAGATTTGCTAGAAATTGTGACCCCGGGTGATTTTCAAGAAGAAAACGAACTCAAGGGAAATGCCACCTTAATCTTCCTTTTGCTGCTGTGCTTTGGGCAAAGGGAACATGTATTTGTAAAAAGTAACACCAAAGGGGTTCTCACACTTACTGCAGACAATCTGGCAGACCGTCTTGTGGGCTACAAAAGGAATAGAAAAAAATTATGTTTTTTTGTAATTATACACAACTAGGTTTATTTAAAAATCATCCTTGATATATTTTATTTTGTCGAAAGAATACATAATGATGACTCCCATAACTTTCTTCAGGTTAGCATAGTGAAACACATCTCAAGTCCCCTGGATACTCCAAAGAAGGTGTTTCTAAAGACATGTAAACACATTGTTCAAGTGAGTGCACTCTCCCAATTAAGAGTGCAGAGAGTAAGAAAAGGAAAAGATAAGGAATTCTGGCTCCATCCTAAACCATAATCTCTTCTTTTTGTGATAATCTTGACAGCAGGAGCTCAAGTGCCTTAAAATGGAACTAAAGCATGTAAGTTAATAAAAGAGACTTATATAATTGCATAGAAACCAAAATAGCAGGAGTTCCCCATCTTTCAGCTATGTTGGAAAAAGAGAATGACTACAAATCTTACGTAGCTAACAAAAAAGACTTTTTCCTAGCCACTAGACCACCAGGGAGAACTTAGACATCTTTTTATTTGTAATAAAATAAATACTTATCTACTAAAAGCATGCACATTCAACAATTTAACTAGAGTAAAAACGCTTACTAACCTTTTAATTGCAATTTTAGACAATTAAGATTAGAAACTGATAATGAATTTAGAGGTTAATATTTCTTAGGAAATCTTTTCTTCAAGCATGGTACAAGTTAGTAGCATATGAGATTGTAAAGAAAAAATTCAAATAACAGAACTGTCCTAGGCACTTCAGCAACAGCACACAGAACTTGTATTTTATTTACTATGCAGCAGAAGCTGCTTTCCCCAGGGATTTTACATTCCAAAACTACAACCGCCTTTCTTTACAAGTGTTCCAGAAATAAACACTCCATACTTTTTGCCTGTTTTATTAAATGCTCTGTCTCCAGTAGAGTAGTGCACTGCCTAACACACAGCAGCACATTCTCAAGAATATTTGCTGAATAAATGAATTCAAGTTTCCTCCCAATTCTTACTCCTTTATGCAGACTTTGCCTCATTATGATAGCTTAAATGTTTCAAATAACTTTTCTTAAGAAGGGGTCAGCAAAAGTAGTCACTGGGACCTGTGTCATAATTGTGAGGAATTGTGGAAATTCTTGAAGCCGTGTTTAGGTCATTCTAGGTCAGTAGGTCGGGCCAAACTGGAAGAAATATTTCTTGCCATCTCCATTTCTAAGAATTTTCTTGCTGAAAATGGCCAGAGAAGCTAAACTCATCTTTCTTTAAACTACAGAAAGAAATGAAGGGCCAGAGCCTCCATGAATAATTTTAACCTTAGGGTCCCGAGGAAAGATCACAGCTAGACTTAGGGCCAGCTAGCAAAATGTGCTGAGAATAGGAGACTGTGCCAGTTATGTAGCTGGCTGGAATACATTCATTGCACAGAGTAGAAGGATGTGCTGGTTGGCACACAGCTTGAGTCACAGCCGGTGGGTAAGTAGGGAAGGAGGGTGTGTACCAAATTCTCTACCCTCTTGCTATGATTATCACAGGTGCATTCATGACAATGTACCCACCACAAGTTCCCAGACATCAGGATTCAAATCCTGCAATGTGTTTTCCAGGATGGTCAACTAACCAACTGGATTTTACTGAAAGAAAAGGGAACATTATCACTTACATCTAGCAACAAGCAGGCATCCCGTGCTTCTACAACATGCTTTCTGAGTGTGGAGGAGTCAAGGAGCAGTTGCCAATTACCACACAGAGCTCAGTTTTGAAGTTTTTTGTGTGGTCTCAAGAACTACCCACATCATCTTGTAAGTACAGCAGGCAGAAAGACAACCTTTACAAGTAAAAATGGCAGCCTCGGTGCTAGAGAGAAGGGAATGACCTCATGTGAATACCTCCCTGCTTGGTTACCAGAGTATGTGCACCATGTTGCCTTTATTTCACTGTTCACCCTACCTATCTCCCATCTGTATCCCCTACTTTACAGGACCATCTTTCTCTTCAATTTTGGAAGCTCCAGTGCCTAGCAGGGACTTTCAATAAATCTTGAGATAAATAGAAGAGGTAGATACCACAAACCAGTAAATTACTCATTTACTCTCTAGTTTGGTCCTGCAAGGTGGCCAAACATGTCAGTCATTACTCATAACTACCTATCTGTCAACCAGATGTCCTTAGTAGAAATCTCATTGAAGCGAGGCAAAATTGTAAAAAAATTCCGAATTGTACTGCTCTTGCTTCTGTCCTTCCCTCTCCACGTGAACTCCCACACATATTGGATAGACAGGGTGATGTCAGAAAACCCTTTGGGATTTCCAGACAGACATTCCAATCAAAGCACTGCTCCACAGCCTCCAGGTGTTTGATCGAATGGACTTAATTCAACTCCAGGATAAGAGTTCCAAAATAAAAAGCTTAGGAAACTAATGCAAAAACCGTTTCCCTTTATAAGTTTTCTAAACCAGCCAGTCTCTAAAAAGCTTATCTTTTACTGTAAAAATCACTTTATGACTTCCTACTTAAAATTTACCAGCTTTTCTATGTCGTAAAAAAAGACTTTACTTAAAGTTTCCTTTCCAGTAACCACCATAAGAGATTTTCTTTTTCACTGCAAACAGTGTAGGCTGAGACTAACCTTTCACTGTCAGCAGTACTGATTATGCACCAAGCGCAAACGCCTTCCTGGAAAGTTCTATCAGCTTTCACAGCCTTAAAATCTATAAATGATTGGACTATATTTACTGGATATGAAATATGTTATTTTTCCTCTTTAAAACACTAGCATTTTAAAGTACTCATTTAAGACTCAGCCTGGTTGGGGAGGACTAAGGAAAAAAAAATATTAAGAATTTCTCTAGATTTGTCGAAGTGTGAAATCTCAAGGAAAGCAATCAAAAGAATGGCTGTCAGGGAACGGAGGAAGGCTTTAAGAATACCAAGCCATCGTGAGAGGTGCAGATATGATAAAGTGAGGGTTTGTCACTGTGGTTTATAGGTGCTGGGAATGTTACAATTATCCAATAAGCATTTATTGATTAATTGATCATCCTCTAGGCTGGAGGTAATTCTGATGCAAATTTCCAAAAAATTCACTCCGAAAAACATGGAATCTTACTTTAATGTCTTGGTTGCAAAAGCAGCATATATATACAACCTTACAAGGACAAAGTCCAGAGGGAGAGCTAGATTCAGGTAGAATCACTGTGCTTTGCTGAATATTGCATCAAACATATGGACAATTCCATTGGAATTTGGAAGTATTCTTTTTATGAGATGTCTTTTTTTGGTGGTATTAGGGGTTTGAGTTCAGGGCTTCAACACTTACTAGGCAGGAACTCTACTGCTTGAGCCACACCTCCAGACTTTTTGCTGGGGTTAGTTTGGAGATAGGGTCTACCTGCTGGCTTGGCTTGGACTGTGATCCTCCTATTTAGGCTTCCTGCCATCACTTGGATGCCATGCGCCTGCCACCACACCCAGTTTTTTTCTGTTGAGGTGGGGGCTTCACAAGCTTTTTGTCCAGGCTGGCCGGACACAGCGATCCTCCCCATTTCAACCTCCTGCATCTGGTAGCTTGCCACTATACCAAGCTATTGGTTGAGATGTGGTCTCCTGAATTTTTTTTTTTTTTTTGCCCAGGCTGACCTTGAAATGTTATCCTTCTTATCTCAGCCTCCCAAATAGCTAGGATTACAGGCACGAACCACCAACACCAGGTATGAGACATCATTTAGCTTCTGAGCCTGACCATGGACTTCCAAGCAAAACTCAAAAGACAAGGTGCTTTTAATTCTTAAAAGAAATGAGAAGTTAGGTAGAAATTGCCTTCTTTTCAAAACTGGGAAGTAGAGAAAGATATACTTTGTTCCGTCTCAGGGAAACAATGGCGAAGACTAAGAGATGGAAACTAGATTACCAGATTTTTATGACTACAGAAAAGGCACATGTGGACAGAGGATAGTGGGCCAGGAGATTCAGACATCTTTCCTGGTTCTGCTATTTACAAGTTGTGACACATGGACAAATCATATTATGAGCAAAATAGGAATATATCTGCCTGTTATCAAAAACAGCAAACCTCTGACATGCACTATTCCCTTCCCTTGTTTTACTTCTCATCTTTCTTTTTTTGCAATACTGGGGCTTGCACTTGTAGGCAGGTGCTCTACACTTAAGCCATGCCTGCGGCCTTCTTTTACTTAGTTACTTTTCAGATACTGATCTGCATTTTTGCCTAAGGCTGGTCTTGGCCCAAGATCCTCCTACTTATGTCTACCTATAGCTGCGACTACCAGCATGTGCCATCATGCCCAGAAGGGTACCATTAACTTTTCCCGGGCTGCCTGTAACCATGATTCTCCCGATATTCACCTCCCAAGTAGCTGGGATTACCACCATGAGCAATCATGACTGGCTCTCTTTATTTTTCTTTATAGCAAATACCCAATTATTTTATTTTACTGTCTCTTTCATGAAGGCAGGGATTTTTGCTTCTTTGTCATTGTAGGATCCATATGGCCTAGAGCAGTGCTTCATGCATTCCAAGTGCTCATATGGTTTTGTTAAGGAATGAACCTGGGATGTGGGGCTGGTAGTAGCTCAGTAGTAGAGCAAATGTTTAGCATGTACGAGGTCCTGGGAAGAGGAAGAAGGAGAGGGACAGGGAAGGGGAGGGGAAATGTGAGTAGGAGAAGGAGGAAGATGAGAAGGAGGAGGAGGAGGAGGAACAGAAGGAATGAATCTTAGGGTTATTGTATGGATCAGACAAAATAATCATCTGAACAGCTTTGCAGTCTGCTAAGAGTAAAGACCATGGTACATTGTTTTGCTCATTTATTGCCCAAGTTTCCTGAAGTGCTATACTTTGCAAGATGCCCTTCAAATACCACAGTAGTGGTGGAGGGTTATCAAAAGAGGAGCCCCTTTATAATCACTATATATTCACCATAGTCAAGGCCGTGCATACGCAATGACATAACTGGAAAATTCTGTCTGAACTGAATGTCAATGCAATGGGAAAAAAAAAAAAATCGATCAATGTACTCTCTGACAGTTTTTACCACAAGCCACCAGCTAAGTGACTGACCCTTTCTACTTTTCAAACAACTGTGTTGATGTTCCTAAAGACATCATAGGTTTTAATCTGGCCTTGGCTTAAATGGCAAGTAAACAGTTTTGTCTAGGAAAGGTTTCGGTTAATAATATAAAATATATAGAAACAATATAAAATAAAATCTAATAAAAAAAATATAAAGAATAAAAATTCTTTTGAGGCAACCTAAATATCCAGCAACAGAGGGAATAACGATAATGTGCTATATAAAAAAAGAATATGAAAAGAATAAAAATTCTTGGGCTTAAATAATATACACAAGGCATCTATATAAGCAAAAATAGACACACATACCTTTTATATATTGTAACCAGCTTGAATTGCTTTTAGTATACAGTAACTGGGAAGACATTTTGCTGTCACATATTTGCTGTGTTACAGTAGTTTCTAGGTTTCCTGACTGATCAATTTAAATGTCATTCCTCAAGGTGAAACCCAAACACTTTTTTTGGTGCCCAGATGTAAAAACATTAAGGTAGGTACACTTAGCCAACAGTCCTAAAAATCACTTTTGCCATTTTCCAAGAAAATGCAAGCACTCAACCATTTTTTTTTTTTGGGTTGGTTTTAGCATTTATGTGGTGACTTAATTGGGAGCACAAACTTTGTAATTATATAAAACTCTGAGACAAGTGGATGCTTGATACATGGATGGTAGGGACTGGCAATTTTATTTGTTTTACTTTTCAATTACTTCTTTTTGTTTCTGTTAATGATTTTCTACTTGGCAGAATGGACATTTCATGTAGGGGTGTTGGTTTCATGACAAACTCCTCTGAATTATTCACCACAATATGAATCACCCAGTCAAAGACTCTGTAACTGGATATTGTTTTTCTCTCTCTTGTGACCCCTTTTAAGTTCAAGTGTAAGAGCTGCCACTGTAAAGCTCTGTGTAAAAGGGAATGGCTATCATCACAGACACAGATATATCTCATTTCTCACTTTTTAATCCATCTCCTTTTAGATATTCATAATATTACTACAAAATACTCAACACAAGCATCTCTTCCAAGTTCTTAGCCTTTCACAAGTTTCTGTATTTTAATACAAAGTGTCTTTGAATCAATGCCTGATTAGCTATCTCAAAACTGTAAGTTTTCCTAATTTAAAAAAGCTTTTATATTTTGACATATTGTATATCTTTTCATAGTTTTTTTTTTTTTACCTAAGACATAGATGAATCCTCTTAGCTGAATATTCAGAATCTAAAAAGTAATTTATAATTCATTCACTGGAGCAGAAAATTTATGAAACCAACAACCCTTCATTTTATTACTATGAAAGGCAGACTGTTCTCCTTGATGAATTTACCTATTATCTCACTCTTTGCCCAGAAGGAATTCTCAGTATCTGCTTTGACAGACAGCAGGACCAACAGGTAGAAATATAAACAACACAGTAATTAGGAAACACCCTATCATGTACCACATGAAACATACCTAGGCCAAAGAGACTGCACATAAACACTTATCTCTAGCTTATGTAGTCTCAGCTATCTTTTTTACAATAGTATCAATTCACATACAGAGGGTCAAATAATATTAAACATTTCAACTTAAAGAATTACATGGAGGAAGTCAAAGACACACTTACCTCCTGTTTAGTTACTTTGGATCCATCTTTGCCCTCTGTATTCTCTGGAGACTAGAAAGAAAATACTTTAGTGAACTGTATTGAAATTGAAAACCACACATTAGAAGATTAAAATATATAAAGCAATTTCAGATTGTTTGCAGGGAAAATTAAATTTATAAAAGGACATGTTTTTACACACACACACACACACGCACACACATGGAATTTAGCTGCATAATTGCTCCTTTTAAATTAGGAATGGGGAAAGAACTACTATGAGCCCTGTTGTCAACTGACAGGAACCCTAAGCAATTTTCATTTCTCTGTGATGAGTCCACTATCAGTGAAGGGACAGGGAATCAGGAGTCAGTGACAGGGGTGCCCCGTATCCACCTTCTTGTTCTTCTTGAGTGTTCAAGTCCTGGCAAAGCCCAGGACAACCACAAAAGCCTATTTTCATCCTGTGTTTGTTTTGATTTCTAACCCATTTCTTGATACGATGTGATATATTTATCATGGATTACTCTTTTTCCATAATCAGTTCCAGCATCTCTACTAAACTCCAAACCGTGCATGACAGGCAGGCTCGCTGCCACCCCCAGCTGATTTGTTTCCAGACTGTGATCTATCCCCTGGGGCAGCACCTGCCCACTCCTGTGACAGCTCAAACCTGACAGGGAACAAAGGCTTCATACAATGAGGGGGAAAAGATCTGTTGTGTTTTCCTTTTGTTTCAAAGAAAACTATACTTTAGATTGGCAAAACACTACAAATATCCCAACATATTTCTATTGGCTAAGAGTTAATAAGTAAGATTAAAACAAGTAAGCTAACTAAAAAATTAAACACATTTTGCAACTACATAAAACCGGAAGGTGGATACTCACTGTCTGTAGCACAAATAGGAAGCTGATATGAATGGAGCTTTCATTAGAAAAAATACAATCAGAAAACCAACATTTAGCACAACGTTTAGCTTAGCAAGATAAAAAAGCTATGTGGTAATGCCTCATTTAATAAAAGGAGAACAAAATTTACAGGCTCATAAAAGGCACTGTTGAGCGGGGCAGGTGACAATGTAAATTAGTATAATCTTCTCAGAGAAGGACCCGAAAGAGGCACAGAGAACTAAATGGATGATGAACTGGTAATTTCAATTTTGCAAAAATTATAATTTTTACAAATGCTTTGTAAAAATATGGTGCTATTTATATCATTTCTAATATGGAATAACTGGAAACAAAGAAAATCAAAGAAGTATTTAAACTATGTAGCACTGAGATGGGGTTAAAAATATGCTACCTGGATACAAGAAAAATACATAAAATAATGCTATATTTAATAACTTACATAATAAAATTGTAAACAAAGTGTAGGTACCAAGTATACACAGCATTTGGGAAAAAAAAAACTTTTTAAGGCAAAGGTGTTCCTTGGTGCTGTCTGTCATCCACAGCTTATCAGTTCTCTTTCAACATCAGAACCTCCCATATCTATGAACTTATCTCCTTGTTTCCCAAATCTCCTCTTCCATGAAACCTTCCTTGTCCTGAGGGAAAACAGTTTTCTGTTTTCTGGTTCCCATTCATGAACAGGAATGCCTGATCACAGTTCTTGTGTCATTTCAGCTAGTTGAATTACAGACAGAAAAATCTCAACAAACGTGAGCACATGAAGACAATTCCTACTTGGATCATTTAGCTTTCACACTTCCATAGTTACAAACTCAACGCTTCTGGGTACACTAAACCCTCTGGTTGTCTAGAAATGCTCAGCTTTCATTCCTATCTGTCAGGTCACTCAGCAGACTTCAGTCTGCAGTACCCTCTACCTCTAATTGACAAGCAGTTAAGGAAGAAGCACACAGATATTGCTAGAAAAATAGATGTTAATGTCCAAAGCTTCATGTCTCAAGGGGTTGGGAGGAATAAGCACAAAAAAATAAAAAAAGGTGGGGGAACTAAAGGTTTGGATTATATGGATGATTCCAGTGGGCTGATGTGAAGAGTGAGGTGAGGCAGATGGGCTTCGGGGAATGCCAAGACAAACGGGTTCTTGCTCTACTCCCTGGGACAGAGTAGGCTTATACTACTTCTGTTTGAACTAAGAACCCTCAAGAGGGTGAAAACCATGACCAAACATAAGCGCCTCATGCACGTATCTGAGCTCCTGAAAGCTCCCAGTTGGCCTTGGTATTAATCTTGGAGCCTCCCAGGAGGCTGGGGATACCCAGGACAGCCAGATAGAGGGCAGAACAGGCTGAAGATGGGGCATCCCTGATAGCTGATGTGGTTTGTCAAGATGCACCAGGTTAACATTTTGCTTCACTGCCCAGGTTTATAGTCAGGGCATGTGGGTGGTGTGCAGTGTGGCTACACATGAGGGATAAAACAGGGAGAGTCTTTTTCCCCTTAGCAGATACAGACAAAATCCATTACCTGTTCTTTCCAAACGTAACTTAATTTTTTGTTGTTCATTTGCAGGGCCTTCTTAGGAAAGTGCCTATGTGGAGATAGCTCCTGTTTGCTCCCTCACCTTGTGTTAGCATGAGGCTTTCTTTACTAACACCTCTGCCACTTCTCCAGAAGGAAAACAAATGATTGTGCACATTTCAAAGCTTAAAAGCAAAACAATATGACTGTAGGTAACACTTATACACCCATATGATTTTTAAAAGAGTTACACCAAAAATCCAAGGACACAGAAAGCATGACAATAAAAGGATGCAAAAAAATATGCAGAGTATGCGTGTAGCTCAATGGTAGAGCACTTACCTAGCAGGCACAGGCACAGGGGTTATATACATACTGGGCTACAATTAACTAAAAACTAGAAACAACCCAAATCTCTATCATCAGGAGGATAATTAAATGCCAATAATATAAGCAGGGAAAACAAATGAACTATGAATATGCATATCAACATGGGTAAATCTCATTGTAATGCTGGACAAAGAAAAAAGGCTATAGAGTGGCTGTAAGCAAAGTTTAAAAATACATATACACGATAAATCTATAAAGAAAAGCAAAGAGATGAGAAATAGGAAACCAACACACAGGTTGCCTCTGTGTGAGGAATGGGAGGGTGATTTAACCAGGAGAAACAAACTTGCTGGTAATGTTATATTTCTTAAGCTGAGTGGCAACTCCATTGGCCTATTATTCTTATTTAAATCACATATATATATATATACTACATTTACATACATATATACATATGTATACATATGCATACATATATATATATACTATATTTGTACATATTTTAAATTAAAACAAGAGGTTCTGAACAAAATTGGCATGAAGAAAAACTAAATAGCTATTTTTTAAATTATAAATTCTGAAAATAAAAGCAGCTCACTGAAGTGCATCACTAGGTGGTGGACAGTAGAAGAAATGATCAACTGTCACAGACTACCGAGGAATTAGCCCAATATACAGCAAGAACAGGAAAATGATAAGCAATAGGAAAGAGAGCTTAGGAGGGAGGGGGTTAACTGAGAAGCACCATATCTGTCTAACAGACAGTTAAGAAGCAGAGCACAGAGGTTCCAGTACAAAAGCAAAGGCACAATGGCTAAGAAATTTTCCAAATTGAAGTCATGAGTTCTAGCTTGAAAGCCCCCATCAAGGAATAAACAAAACAAGAACAAAATACAAGACACACTGTAATAAAACTAAACATCAAGAAAAGTGAAGAAAATCTTAAAAAGTTATCAGTCAGTCAAGTGTGGTGGTGCATGTCTTTAATCCCAGCACTTAGGAGGCAAGAGGAAGATCACAAGTTCAAGGTCAGTCTGAGCTACATGGTGAGACCCTGTCTGAAAAAAAAAAAGTGATCAGAGTTAAAAGATGGACTATTTATGAAGAATGTCTTCCCCACTAGCAACCATAAATATGGATACTGTTCAAGGAGTTAAGAAAAACTGTCAACCTAGCTGGGTGTGGTAGATTACGCCTTTAATCTCAGTGATTGACAGGAGGACAACAGGAAGCTCTCTCTTTGAGGACAGCCCAGGCAAAAAGTTAGCAAGATCCTCATCTCAGCCAACAATCTGGGTATGATGACACGTACCTGTGATCCCAGCTACATGTGAGGCCTTAGTTACACAGGTAGGAGGAATGCTGTACAACACTCTATTTGAAAAATAACTAAAACAAAAAGTAGTGGAGGCATGGCTTAAGTGGTAGAACACCTGCCTAGCAAGCTCAAGGCCCTGAGTTCAAACCTCAGGAACACCAAAAAATAAGTAAAAGGAAAAACTGTCAACTAATAATTCCACACCTAGCTATCATTCAAGAATGACAGCAAAATAAAGCCATTTCAGAATACAAATGTCAAGACTGTTCACCACCAACAAAACCTTTCAGCAAGGATCTATCACTAAAGGATCAAATTCAGCAATAAGAAAAATGGATCTAGATAGAAGACAAGCATGTAAGAAATGTAAAGATTATATCAGTAAATCTAATTATATTACCTATGGATAACAGTAGCTATTATTTGTGTAAGTTTAAAAAATCTAGGTTAGTGCTGACCTATAGAAATATAACATGCAATTTATTTTCTAATAGCCAGATTAATAAAGCAAAAAGAAGGATATTTTATTCACCTGACTATATGTAAAATTAAATCACTTAACCATGTAATCAATATATAAGATAGTAATGTGATTTTTCACGAAGTTTTTTCATACTAAATTTTAAAAATCTGGTGTGTATTTTATACTTAAGGCATATCCCCATTCAAACAGGAAATTTTCATTGGGGATATATGATCTGAATTTAGAATTTATAAGACAGAGCAGTTTTACCCAGATTGTTCCAAACATTTAAATTTTTCCAGTAATGGAGTGTTATACAAATTTTTAAACTTAAGTTGTTACAATTAAACAAAATGAAGATTGATCTCTCCATTCTTTCTGGGTATTCATGCAGGTGGTGGCCAACATACTAGACAGCGGAGCTCCAGACAATAGCAACCATCAGAGAGGCAGGTGGGGTGAAAAAGTAAAAATTAAAGCATGCTAGGGTCCCAGTTTTGTTCTGGAGGACAACAGATACAGAGTA